GGTAGACTTCAGGATTGGTGACGTGGCATCTTCTGCAAGAGGCTGAAGCGAAGAACCTGAAGACGCCAAGAAGCTGAATTTCATATGAAGAGGGAAAAAAAGAAGAAGGGAAAAAAAAGAAGACGAAAAGAAGAAGAAGAAGGTGGAAAAGAAGAAACAAGTCTTAGGAAGTGGAAGTCTTTCTTCGCGAGTGATTGTAGATTTGATGGGATTCGAATCTTTGGAAGACAAGAGCCCGATTGGAAGGATTAGAGTCAGTGATAATCCTTGATTGGTGTAAATGGACAGGTATATTTTTCCCGAAATTGTGTGATGAAAGATTTTTTTTTTTTTTTAAAGAAGTGGGCTTGAACACGTGGGTGGCTTTGGAAGTGATGGTGACACTGTTATGGATATAGTAACGACGGATATGGTGATTAGGAAAGTGGATGGTGTACGTGTGATACTTTGGTGCACAAGGACGTTCTGAAAATTGCTTAAAGAAATGTGATAGTTTCTTCCATAAAACACTTGGCATTTTTTACAGATCAAAGACAGCTGTGTGTGAATTGTATGTTTCCTTTCGTATTTCTCAAGTTGGTTGGGAGTGATTAAAAAAAAAGAAAAAAGTATATTGCAAGAAAGCAAGGGAATGAATGATCATGTTGAGAGAGATAGAAAGAAGGAAAAAAGAGACACTGTATTTCCCTCACTCTTCTTTCGTCGCCAAGCACGAAAGAGGAAAAAAAACTCAAGTGGAAGAAATTAGAGGGAAATATAGTGCAGGGAAATTAACAATAATGTGTCAGCGGAGAAAGACTCCTGAAACTGAACGAAATCGACAGGAAAAAAAAAGGGGACAGGAAATTCAGAATGTCGTGAAGTCATTTTTTTCCCTGAAGTGTTTTCCTACACACTGAAGAGTTTTTAGTCTCTCTCCTGTGTCTTCTCTAAATCTCCTCTACTATCTTAGGTATCTTGCTGGAGACCTGCTGCTTCTGTAGAATTATTGGGCTGGAGTGATGTTTCCTTGGCGTCTAGGGGGAAAAAGGGGGAGGGGGGGAGTTTGCGAATAAATTGTAATGATGTGGTGATGTGAAGGAGTGAGGGAGAAAGAGGGAAAAATAAGTAGAGGAAAGGGAAGAGAGAGGGAGGGTACGAGAGAGAAGGGAGAGAGAGGGAAGGGAGGAAGAGGGAGAGGGAGAAACGGAAGGGGAGGCTGCTAATGTTCTCACGCTAACGACAAACAGGGGTTGAACTTGCAGAGGGAATCAAGTGACCAGCAACTCATCGGTTTAGAGGCCAAATGAGATGGCAGTCTGCACCGTTAGCCACTTAACTGATCCCAGAGGTCATTAGCAAAGCGTAACAATAGGCAACAAAGACGCTTTTTTACCCCTCTCTCTGTGTGTCTCTTTCACATCGCCACCTCATTAATCAGCCGTGGCTTTAGGGCCGTTAGATGAACAAACGGAGATGACAACAGAAAGCATCAGTGGCCGCCGCGATATTCTACAGCATGCTTTGCCGTTCTTCGCCCTTCCCGTTGGTTCTGCACAGTCGGAGGCGCGGCAGTAGCGCCGGCAGTACAACCAGCGCCCTGCGTGGCCATTACCCGAACTGTTCCACCGTATCTTTTCTGGCATTCTCGCTCTTAGGTCGAAGGATTGTAAAGTCGTTAATTTCATGCTTTGGAGTTATAGAGTATGATTTGCTGAATCACGTCGATGATGCAGATCAGCCAGGATGAACTCTGAGGCGAATCCCAATCAGCATGCAGGACACAGACCTGTAAAATCGATTTTTGGAAATCTACTCCAGTTACTTTTATTCTGAAAAGTGGCTGCCCTTCCCTTTCTTAAAATAATTTCTCATCATGGAGACGCATGTAGGCATGGAGGCCTAGGAATGGAGAGGGGGGAAAAGCGTGAAAAATGAATAGGCCTATCCACCGTAGTACATTCCGGAGTGAGTGACAGGGTTATGTGCTATACCTTTGTACGTTTGCATTAGTAGCAGGTCTCTTTGCTTGTGATATTAAATGAAAGTCCATAGACGATGAAATCCACGTAGCTGTTGACCTTGCGCCGTTTCGGTAGTGTTGAAATGGTCGTTAAGGTGTGTTGTAGTTCCATTGGAAGCCATTGTGTTATGTTGCCTTCTGCAGCTGTATGATAGCCGGTGTATATATGCTTGTATGTAATGGATTTTATGAAGTGTACTTTGTTAAGATTTTTTTTTATATATATATGTGTTTTTGGTTATCAGTATTTTTTGTCTTTTTTTTTGTCTAACGTCTTCGAATCGCCCGCGGGCTCTGGCGGTCAGACTGTCGGGATATGTAGATCTTTATTTTGTTTCTGACTTCTTTGTCGAGTTCGTTCCGTGTCCAGTATTTATTGCACTTTTTGTTTTGTATGCTGTCTTTACTTTTGTTTTTTTTTACTCTTCGAGGGCCATTCATCGTTTGTAGGTTTAGTCGGTCTGTTATCCTCATTTATCGACCAGCTGGTCACGTGAGGGCCCTGCCTGGTGCCATCAGATAAAACAGTTGTTAGTAACATCATGCCTTTTTTATCTCCAATGTTTGTATTTATCTCCGAAGTGCATTTCTCTTATCACGGTTTTCCCTTCCGCCTTCATATCACTCGAATTTCTCAACCCCCATGTTTTATTTTTACCCCCCTCCCTCCTCCCCCCTCATCATCAACGCCTCATTGTGAAGTAGAGGAGCTGTTGTGTCTGATGACGTCACGCGGCGCCCGGATGCCCCAGAGCCCCGTTTGGTTCGGCGACGGAAGAGACGACCTGGTCTGTTGTTGCCATATTGCGTTCCATGTAGGATTTCCCTCTGCCTGAGTAGTCTTCTGTATAAGACTTAAAACTTTGGATTCAATCTCCCATATTCATTTTTTTTTTTTTTTTAATAGAGAGAGCATCTTCGCCAAATTACCTTTTTTTAAGTATATACTTTATATATATAGAAGGATAACTTAGTGAAGATGTTTTTTTTTTTTGCAACATGTTCTTTGCATTGAGTCTCGAGTTGCCAGATTCTGATTTTTAAGCTCAATATTATACTCAAATAGAGGGTTGAGCCAATGTCAGGTTCAGCTTAATCACTTGCTGATTTAAAGAAAACTTAGCTAAGCTATGTTTATGAGAGTGTTTCGTGTAGGCTTGACGTTCGCCGTTCGATAGAGGCAAAGTCATTATGACGTCATCAGAGGCGAGGACGTTTTGAAAAGTGACAGTTGATCTTCGTTTTCTATTGCTTGAAACCGTTGCTTTTCGATCAACACTTTACCAGTTTACATGGATTCAAAATAGTATTTAGAGCACGCACTGTAGTAACTGTAAGCTATGGTGCAGATGACACAATGTTTTTGATCGATTAAAATGTAGTTCACAGCAAGCAGTGTTACGTTCCTCCGCCTTCTTGTAAACTCAGAATCGGCCGTAAAAACAAACAAAGATTTTTTTGGACGAATCATGAGCCAGAACGTCTCCTGTGTTTTCTTTTCCTTTTTTTTTGAGTGTTTGTGTGCGTGTTTTTGCGTGTATCTTTCACAGGGAACTTTGGATCCCGTATTTACATATTCTTATTAATCTTAACATTTAATTACAAGGAGATGTTAATAAAAAAAAAGTCTCGCTCATTCTTGGTGTGAGTTTGTGCCCCTTATTTGTACTTCATTAATGTTTAAGTTGATGCGTAAGTCAGTCGAGTAGGCCATATTGTGTAAATATTGTAAAAGTTATTTAATAAAACGATGCTGAAATAAAATAAAATATGCTAAAAAAATGATGTTGTTTCACCTGACCTTTGCATAGTAATAAGGAAAATAATGACACTGTTTTGATATAAAAAAGATGATCAGTCTAATTACATACACAGACACTACAAAAAAGACTGAATAATGAAAAAAAATAGACTTTAAAGAATGAACGATGATGTCAAGAATAACAATAAGACTAATAATAAACCCTTGTACAGAAAAAACAAAAAAACTGTGACCATAACATATAACTGAAAAGTATCCGTGATAATTGCACAACAGTAATGATGCCTCTGATCATGACAATGGCATTAATGTTAAGAGTCAATATCACGATTGCAGTAATCCGTTTGACGGCAGTAAAATCTGAATGTTATGGTCAGACTAAACTTTATTGTAGTTGGGACACTCTGCGAATAAAGTATTGTAACTATTGTGTTATTTACGATGACACCATATTGAGAACATAAAAAATACATTTGGAATAGATACAGTGAAACGAGTAAGTAGAAAGAAATCATAAGATTAATGGAAATGATAGAAGTAGACAAATGTATACTGCATGTAACAATATACATGCAAATAAAAGTATACATATATATACATATATATATATATATATATATATATATATATATATATATATATATATATATATATATATACACATACACACATACATACATACACATATACACGTGTGTGTGAATATCCATACCTATATGTATGTATGTATAATATATATATATATATATATATATATATATATATATATATATATATATATATATATATATATGCACACACACACACACACACACACACACACACACACACACACACACACACACACACACACACACACACACATATATGCATATAGATATGTATATATATATATATATATATATATATATATATATATATATATATATATATATGTATATATATATATATATATATATATATATATATATATATATATATAATATACATATATATATAATATCACTTATGTGTAAATATATATATATATATATATATATATATATATATATATATATATATATATATATATATATAATATCACTTATGTGTAAATATATATATATATATATATATATATATATATATATATATATATATATATATATATATATATATATCACACACACACACACACACACACACACACACCACACACACACACACACACACACACACACACACACACACACACACACACACACACACATATGCATATAGATATGTATATATATATATATATATATATATATATATATATATATATATATATATATAATATACATATATATATAATATCACTTATGTGTAAATATATATATATATATATATATATATATATATATATATATATATATATATATATATATATATATATATATATATCTATCACACAGCACACACACACACACACACACACACACACACACACACACACACACACACACACACACACACACACACACACACACACACACACACACACACACACACACATATGCATATAGATATGTATATATATATATATATATATATATATATATATATATATATATATATGTATATATATATATATATATATATATATATATATATGTATATATATATATATATATATATATATATATATATATATATAATATATACATATATATATAATATCACTTATGTGTAAATATATATATATATATATATATATATATATATATATATATATATATATATCACACACACACACACACACACATACATACATATACATATATATATATATATATATATA